CAGAAATGACAAGAAAAACAATAATGATGATAATGATAATGATGAGGATAGTAGTAATAATACTGATATCAATGATGATGGCAATAATGACAATAAGAATAATGACATTAATAAGAATGAAAATAATAATAGTGAGAATAACAATGATAATAGTAATAATAAATAATGATAATGGTGGTAATGATAATAAGAGCAATAATGCTAATGCTAATACTAATAACAATAATAATAATGATAATAATAATAATAATAATAATAATAATAATAATAATAATAATAATAATAATAATAATAATAATAAAAACAACAAAAACAACAACAAAACAACAACATTGATAATGATATTGTAATAATAATAATACTGATAATGATAATAATGATAGTATTGACAACAAGAATAATAACATCAACGACAGGATAAAAAGTAGCAGCAATAATGAGCAACAATAAAAACAACAACAATGACGACGATAACAATTACTATATCTAAAGAAAAAGAGAAGAAAATGACTGAAAAAAATAAATTTAATAAATAAAAGAGGATTGAAGGACTTAAATGATAGTTATATTTACGCGTCTGTCTCGCTCTGTCTGTAAATCTTTGTCTCCTTTCCCTCTCTTTGCATCCCCGTGCAATTGCAAATCAGGGCTTTTAGGGGATATTGAGGCTCGTTTCGTAGTTCAGTTTAGTCAAAGAATAAATTGCATATGGCTATTCTGTATGTTTAGTCTCGGTCGTGGAAAGGATACATATGCATGATCATTTCTACGACCCTATATCAGCTTTTGACGGTTTGTTGAAATGACTGCGGATGTGTTTCTTTTCTCTTCGTCTCTGTCTTTGCTTGTCTATCTGTCTGTCTCTGCCCTTCTTTCTTGTTACAAATCCTCTCTCCCTTTGCCTCTCCACCCACTCCCCTCCCCTCACCCCCAACTCAGAAAGAAAAATCTTTCTCTACCCCCTTCTCTCTTTCCTTCCTTCCCTCCCTCCTTCCCTCTCACTCTCCCTTCCTCCCTCTGTGATAGACAGACATACAGTATAGACATAAATGTGTATGCCTGAGGGAGGGAGAGGTATATTGTTGTTCCATTCCACACGGATCTACGAAAACATAAAACGAGGATGTCAAATAACGTTCCTGTCGGTCATTTTTTAGCTTCTGTCTTGTACTAGGGAACGTTTGTGCTTATTTTGTGGGAGGATGTAGGTACGTTTTCGTTTATCTGTGTGTGCAATCGTGTATCAAGACTATACTGTAGAAATACGCATGTGTTTTGCGTAAGATTGGTATTATCATCGAGACGGACCACTTGAACGGCCAGATAACGTTCCCGCGGGGTCTTCTCGGCGGGACTCTTGATGACGTCATAGGCCGGATGAGCCGATGGCCGACACCTATATGAAGAGACCACAGACGTCTCCTGAGTCAGAACAAGCTCTTCCTCGAGTACAGCTCCTCGGATTTCTTGCTTACTTTGAGAGCGACGTTTCTGCCGCAGAGATGAGTGAGTGGCTCTTCGTTTTTGTTCATTATTTACTACCATTCTTGGGATCTTTTTCATGCATTTCGAGTTATATTTTGATTTTCCAATGATCATTTCACACTTATTTTCCAAGCAGCTTACCTAGTGAATGGCGAGTGTGTTCTTTATTTCCCAGGTCGTCTTGGAAGTCCCACTCGGACCTTGGTCGTCCTCCCACTCCTTGCCGCCTGCGCCTCCTCCTCTAACTCCTCCTCCTGGGCCTTGCTGTCCCTCCCTTCGCCCCTGACGTCCCTCTCGGCCCTCTGGACTCCCTCCGCCCCCCGTCCGCCCCAAGGCTGTCAGCTGCATCTTCGAGACAACATCCTTCGTCGAACTCAGCTCCTTCTGTCTCTCCTCGAGGACTACGTCGACTTTTACGTGAGTTCTTTCTTCCATCGGCCCTCTTTTCAGTGCCTCTGCCATATTAGGCATAAATGCAAATGAAGGAGTGCCAACACTAATGAGCGACGCCCCTTTCAGGCGCAGGAGAAGTTCAGCAACAGCTGGGCTGTGATGGACGCCATTTTCAGTCCGGAAGTGGACGCTCAGTTGGTGCTTGTGTGCGACCAAGAGCTCGAGTGCGACCAGGTCCTCCCTCGCCTGCCCTCGCCCCCCTCGACCTCCCCCCAGCCCGAGGAACTCCTCCAGCAACTGCTCACTCTCAGCCGCCGCTACGCCCTCGCCCTCGAGCTGGTGTTCCTGGACCAGTCTCTCCACGAGGACGAGTTGGACCTTCTGGAGAGGACGGACCAGATCTACAGACACGTCCAGGGCCTGGTGGACGTGATCGTGGCCCAAGTGGAGCAGTGCCGAGTGGACGCAGACGACGCCGTGGTCGCGAGGCTGGCGGGCAAGCTGTATAAGGGCGCTTCCTCCGACGGGAGGAACCAGCGCGGCTTCCGCACCTTGAGGCAGTGTCTGTTGGGTCTTCGCTACATCACGAGCCTCTTGTAGTCGAGCCTCCTCCGTCTTTTCATTGTGCATTGTCGTATTTATTAAAACTTTTTTTTCAAAAAACTTTTTTACACCCTCCTCGATATTCTACTTTTCCAACCACTATAGTATAGGGTTTATCAAACCTATGGCTTGGCCCCTTGGCATTCTGGAATCTTTTCATGTACAGTCTAGGGCAACACAAGTCATGTCAAAATATACACAAGCAAGGTAAGTTCACTACTCCAGTTGCTGTTCACTTACTACTATCACACAAGAATGCTACATCCATTCGGAAATAAGAATTTTATTAAGGTTATACACGGTGACCCAAAAAGACGCGGGAAGCTGTCATGACGTCACGATAGGCAATTGGCTGATGCTGCTGTTGTATTTCAGCAGAAATCTCACAATATATGAACACCTCTGATATAACATGGAAAATTGTTAAAACACTAGTGCCTCACAACAAACATCTCATTAGTGACTACAATCCACAAACAAAGTACAGAGCATTTGAATGACTTCTTTTCATAAATTGACCTAACTTATGAAGAAACAACTGTTTTTACATTACAACAAAACAGATCGGGCAAGGCTTACTACTTTTTCAGACCACAACATCTTAGTGATAAAACATCTTCGGGAAATAAATGCTGCAGAAGCAGAGGGTATTGCTTTGGGCTTTATCAGAGATAGTCTACCTGCAACTACTCATTATTTGACGGTCATTACTAACACCTCCCTGGTCACTGGTGTCTTTCAGTCGCTTTGGAGACCACAGCTTTCAAGTCGGAGATATAGACGGTGTGAATAAATATCGCCCTATTAATATACTATCCAAAATTCTTGAAAAAAGCCAATCATCTGACGAATTTCCTGGAGACCATTAACTTATTATGTAAGACGCAACATGGTTTCAAAAATAGGTTATCTACTATAACAGCTTTACTACAAATTACTGATGAGATTTGTAATAACAAACAAAAATCAGGTAAATTTGCTCACATTGTGCGACCTTTCTAAAGCTTTTGATAGAGCCAACCATGAAATTATTCTTGATAAATTAGTAAATCCTAAAATTGATACTTTTTGTCTGAAAAGTCTTTTAGATACAAGGACCTAATCGGTAAGAACCAATAATGGTATATCATCAAAACAACAAGTACCTTTTGGTGTACCACAAGGATCTATTTTAGGTCTGATTCTATTTAAACATTTCAAAAATGATTTATCACCAATAGCCCATAACTGCCTTCTAGTGTAGTACGCCGATGATTCAGTAAACAACTTTAATACACTATTAAGAAACACTCAACATACTCTTACACAAGTAAAATTATATTTTGACACTAATAGCCTGAAACTTAATCCACATAAAGATGTATATTAATAGGTAGTCGGCTAAAATTCCCAATGACACAACCATAGAATTTGAAGGCTGCTCTATCAAACCGAACACTTCAGTGAATAATCTACGAGCACACTTTGACAGATTCATGACATTTGAACCACACGTTGACAAAATACACAGGAAAGTAGTGGGCACCCTGTATATCTTTATCGCATAAGAAATCAAATCACTACTGAAACTAGAATCATGGTTGTGCAAACTATTGTTCGGATATTTGGGTTTCGACTAACAAAGCACAGATGTAAAAAGTACAAAAATTACAAAATTTCGCTATAAGAGTTGCATTAGGTAATATAAGTGAATTTGATCACATCACTCGACATATCTAAAAATTATAATCGTTAAAAGTCCATTCTAAATGCAGTTATGACACATGTGTAAGTTTTTACAAATTCATTCATGGGAATTATCCGAAATGGTTAAGCCCTTGTAAACTGTAAGGAACACATCAGGTGTCCAGACACATCAAGTAAATTCTCTTTATGTTAAGAGATCGAATACCGATACAGGGGCACGACAAATGGAAATACCTGGACGCAAGGTATGGAACGTGCTACCATATACAAGAGACATCAACAGCTGTTATTTCGAAACGAAATTAAAAGAACAACTCTTAAAGAATCAACTGTAAATATAAATCAATTTATGTAAAGAATAACCGTTGTAATATAATGGAATAAAGTGTTTTGACTTTAACTCTGTACCCCCTGTCAGGACGTTCAACACATGATTCACGCCTACTGATTGTTCCTTTTCACACTGCATTCCCGCCTCTCCTTCGGGAGATCACGGAGCAACATTTCTCTCTGAGGCTCCAAGATGCAGTCCTCACTCACAGGGCCATTTCTACTTGCATTAAGATGTTAAGAAAATGATAACGATTAAAGAAGAGTGCTAGAGTGAAGCATTCATTTGTTCCATGAAGCTCGCCACTTTGCTTTTGCGTAAGTTGCCTCCGAGACCATTGAACTTGAGTCATTTTTACCGACGACAAAACCGACAAAACCTTCTAGCGGTCGGGGGAGAGACGGGAAGTCAGGCCCCGCCCCAACCCTGTGACGTAATAGGAATGGTCGGGGTTGCTCTATAATGCATAGGGTTTCTGATATCTTATAGATACCCAATACAATTAGGACTACATGTGAAAGAGGCGTTGCGTGGGCTATGACCGCCGTCTTTCAGTGCAGCTCTTTCTTAGGGTTGATTTATAGCCCTTCAGTATGTGTGTGTGTGTGTGTGTGTGTGTGTGTGTGTGTGTGTGTGTGTGTGTGTGTGTGTGTGTGTGTGTGTGTGGTGTGTGCGTGTGTGTGTGTGTGTGTGTGTGTGTGTGTGTGTGTGTGTTTGGATATTTTTCGTATTCTAAGCCTGCAAAGCTCTCTTATCTACTTCAGTGGGGCATCTGATCATTTAGGTGATGCTCAGCCTCCTCATGGTAGATAAATGACATTAACACATAAGTTTTTCAAGCCCGAATGGCTCAGTCGGTAGAGCATTAGGCTTTTAACCTAAGGGTCCAGGGTTCGAGTCCCTGTTCGGGCGAATCCTTTTGATAAGAAAGAAGGAGAGGGAGAAGAAAGGGTGAGAGAAAGAAAGGGAGAGGAGAAGAGTGATTTAACTATGACGGTTTCTGAAAATAGTAAATATATATTAGTATTATCATCCCTTTAATCTCTCTCACTACCTCCTCTTTATCTTGGATAAGGTGAAGGATAAGTGGCTGAGACAATGCGATAGAGAAAGTTTAACCTATCCTTCATGCAGAAATCCTTGCAGACTGCACACTGGGAACCGCTGAGTTCAGTTTTTACTCCCATTTGTCAGTCTTCCCTTTTTCACCTTCCTCTCCCTACTTTGGCACATTTTTCTTTCCATCCGTCATATCTATTTATTCATCTCTCTTTCTCTAAGTATGGATATATGTAGATCTATGTGCTTCGCTTAAACCATATCTGTCCACACTTATCTGAAGAAAAATACAATGATAGAAATCTCGTCCTAGAGATACGATAGTGAACCGCCAGATAACGTTCCCCGGGCCTTTCCTTAGCGAAAAGGTGTCACTGAAACTCGTCCTCCTCTTGCTGACGTCACAAGGAGGATGAGCTGATGGCCGACAGCTATAAGAAGGAACCACAGACGTCTCCTGAACAGAACCAGCTCCCCTTCGAGAGCAGCTCCTCGGATTTCTTGCTTGCTTTGAGATCGACGTTTTCGCTGCAGTGATGGGTGAGTGGTTCTCTTTTTTTCCAACCGTTTTTCTCTTTTTTTCTGTGCTTGCGATCACTTTTACTAGTCTTTAATTAAATGTTTTATGCGGTTTCCTTTAATCATTCTCAAATCTTATATTGATGTACAGTGAGAGTAGTTTTGACTATACTTCATTTTTCATGATCATTTATAATAATGTTGCTGTACCTTACCCCATCTGAAATTATAAAGAGAAACGCAGGCGAATGTGGCATTTATTTCCCAGGTCATCTTGGAAGTCCCACTCGGACCTTGGTCGTCTTCCTTCCACTCCTTGCCGCCTACGCCTCCTCCTCTAACTCCTCCTCTTGGACATTGTTGTCCCTCCTTCGCCCCTGACGTCCCTCTCGGCCCTCTGGACTCCCTCCGCCCCCGTCCGCCCCAAGGCTGTCAGCTGCATCTTCGAGACAACATCCTTCGTCGAACTCGGCTCCTTCTGTCTCTCCTCGAGGACTACGTCGACTTTTACGTGAGTTCTGTCTTCCATCGGGCCTCTTTTCAGTGCCTCTGCCATATTAGGCATAAATGCAAATGAAGGAGTGCCAACACTAATGAGCGACGCCCCTTTCAGGCGCAGGAGAAGTTCAGCAACAGCTGGGCTGTGATGGACGCCATTTTCAGTCCGGAAGTGGACGCTCAGTTGGTGCTTGTGTGCGACCAAGAGCTCGAGTGCGACCAGGTCCTCCCTCCTGCCCTCGCCCCCCTCGACCTCCCCCAGCCCGAGGAACTCCTCCAGCAACTGCTCACTCTCAGCCGCCGCTACGCCCTCGCCCTCGAGCTGGTGTTCCTGGACCAGTCTCTCCACGAGGACGAGTTGGTCTTCCTGGAGAGGACGGACCAGATCTACAGACACGTCCAGGGCCTGGTGGACGTGATCGTGGCCCAAGTGGAGCAATGCGGAGTGGACGCAGACGACGCCGTGGTCGCGAGGCTGGCGGGCAAGCTGTATAAGGGCGCTTCCTCCGACGGGAGGAACCAGCGCGGCTTCCGCACCTTGAGGCAGTGTCTGTTGGGTCTTCGCTACATCAGAAGCCTCTTGTAGTTGAGCCTCCTCTCACCCTATTTATTATGGCCCTTCACTATTTATTAAACATCAATCATATTTTTCTTCAAAACATCGTACACCTTTCTCTATATCCAGATTTATCTAAGACTGTAGTATATGTATTATGATCAGCTGTTTTCTGCCATGCAATACAATCTTGATTAAACAACATAGCTTATCATAAATGCTCATATTGAATCCTTGCCAAAGCGTGCATTCACACATAGAGAATACATCCATAACACTAGTTGCGGTTTACTCAGCATTGCCACACAGACATTCTACTTCTTCCCGAAACTGGCGTGAATTCAAAGATGAAAGGTAATATCCAGTATCA